TGCTTGAGTACGGCCCACCCGCCTTCTGATCACAATAGGTGAGGTGCGGAGACAGGAACGGGTCCAGCATGTAGCTACCCGGCTCATCCCCATTTTACGGGGTGTCGTACGAGGACCGATGTAGAAGATTAGGGCTTTATACCCTGTCATATCGCCGGCTTTGAGTTGGTCTGATTATGATGCACCGGATACTGCACCTGGACCACTTCCCTATGTTGAGGCCGCTGCTTCACGTTCGCGTACCAAGCAGTGCACGCGGACACAGGTACAAACTAGTGGTACCGGATTTAAAGCGCATCGCCCATCCGCTATGCTTCGAGTATCGAGTGATGAAATAGTGGAGCAAGATCGCGGAGACGCTAGTCGAGGCAAAATCGGTGCCGGAATTTAGGAGATTTCTTGACGTTCACTTTGCGGACTACAGGTATAGGGAGCATATCGCACCCGCATAAGATGTAGTGTAGCTGTGATATGCTGCCATCGCGCAGGAATCAGCAACATGATTCCGCGCATGTGCCCGATCCACCAACGATGAAGCAACACAGATTTTTATCTTTTCGCTCTCTATTCTCCGTATTCAGTATTCTCTTCAACAAACTGATTTTGCTGCATCAGTTAAGTTGGCTCGGTCACGTCATGGGTATGTCAGCTGAGCGTTTGCCCTGTTGCGCCCTTTTCTCTCCTGTAGGGCTTGGCTGGAAGCGACCACGTAGTAGTCAGCCGTTCACTTGGCGACATCATATGAAATAGTTGCCTTCTCATTTTGCTGCCGTTAGATCCACACGTCTGCTTGGTTGGGGACCAAAGGACGAGGAGTGCCGTTGGCTGGAAACAATTCAGGAATTTTCGCGCATTCGAAACCCGTGGAACATCATTGTTTAGATTAATATGCTTAATGCTTAACAACTGAAAAATATAAGAAACAGTGTGAAAAAGAGAACAAAAGCAAGCATTCCGTACTTCTCGCGGCACTGTAGCTGAAACGTGTTTCTCACCTTCAGCTAACGTGCCGGGAAGATGATGCAAGGATTAAAACTTTTCTTCAATGGATTACCATCGTTTTGTTTGGTTCCATGTCTGTTCGTTACACTCTTGTTACTACACAAGGCTAGTGGTGATAATGCCCTATCACCGATCGCCCCAAAACACCACTAACCGAGATTTGCAACCGATGTTTAACGACTGATACCATCCTTGACATCTGGAATGCATCCAGAATAACGTTAGGGACACTGAAGGATTCACAGAGGTATCGGCCAATAGCTTGCACTTCCATGCTGCTGAGTTTGCTCGCAAAACCTTTTATCTCCGCCTTGTTACAACCGATTATACAGATGATATCAAACAGTTTGCCTATAGGCCAGTACGCTCTATACTGGTTGACGTTTCCTATGCGCATTCCATTGTATCTGCGTTGCATAAGGACTGCAAAGCGTGTGCATCCTGTTTTTCGATTATAATGCATTTGGGTCTTGACAGATCGTTACCATCAAACATTTTGCTAGAAAATGGACTTCCTGTAAATGTTAGAAGGAAAACTTATGGGCCACGTGATGTGTTTGGCCACGTGATACGTTGGGCCACATGGTGCGTTGCGCCGCGTGTTGTGCATACCAGCATGCCGACTCTCCGCAGCGTGCATTGTTTGCGCGCCGAGGGTGCGGTTGGAAGAGGAGGAAAGGCCAAGTGATGACTTGGTCGAGAAATGAAAACTCTCAATTCGAAGTTGACGTCGTTTGATACATCCGGAATGCCTGGTTGTTATCCCAAGGACGATGAACGCGTTTGGTTTGACACACTTGTTGATATGGCCATGAGCCAGCCCCATTCGCGTGTTTTGTGAGTTTCTTTGTCCACCCCGTCCTCCAGTTCCGATCTCATACGGAATGCTAAATACAGTGTGTAACATTACATTACGTGCTTTCGATTTTTCTAGTGTAACTTTGTTAGCATCATCTTTTTGTGTTGCGACACAACTGAGGTATGTTTCACACCCTCAGCTAACGTGTGTAGGTGATTATGATGATCCGGTACATGTATGTATTGTAATGCGTGACTATTTTGCGATTCATGCACGCTTCACGCAGGTATTGGGTCGAAGGTCTTCCACAATCCCCTCCTATTGTGCTATTTCTCAAGGAGCTACTTTATATTTCTTTTCGTTTTCTCCATGTTGGACGTCCTCCGATACCATACAGTTTCACCGGATGTAAACACGCAGGTGGCGTCATCCTAGGGTGTATGGCTCGAGTGATTGAGGAATCTTCGAAACCAACATGGATTAGACGAACACTTGATAAAACTTCCGGTCTCTCTCCTTTAACCCATATAATTGTTATGATGTCAAGTTTTCTCTTCTCCGCTCCGATAGATTGCGTCTTCTTTTAAATCCCTCTTTTGGTCGTTGGGGACTGAGGCGTTCTTCGATCATCCATCTTAAAGTATTTCAGTGTTTTGTTTTACGAGACACAATTTATCCTAGTGGGCACATCTTAATGCTTTTTAGAGTCAGAACACGCCCTCGGTCTCAACATCCTCTCTGTATTACACATTCCAATTCTAAGATTTGCACATGCAAGTATTCTTCCTCGTTGATTATACTGTTCCCTGTTTTCACCCAAACTTTTCCCGAAGGATTATACCCCTCTTGTGCGCTCACTAAAATTTGTCTCCTGATGCTTTGAATTAAGCAAAAATTCTTCGTTTACTTTATCGTTAGAAGGCACCTCAGCGCATGCTTCAACTTTTCATCCGGGATTCTAACCGACCCTCATCACCCCCTGCATAACATTGTTCTAGTCAACACGGCATCTGTTTCTTCCAAGCAGTGAAAGTTTGAATGTTTTATTATCTCGTACCTCATCATATCGTATCTTCATCTTTCTCTGTCTCGCTTGTTAGTGGTTGTCGTGTATCCGAAATGTTCGTGTAAATTGCTGAAGATATTCCCATATGGGTGTGTAAAGGTTAGCTAGAGATACCACTTGACCTCAAACCGACAACGGAGCTGTCTCCTGGATGCCGCTTTATCTCTGAACGATAGCCTCCTTTTCGTGCCCGTGTGTTGCTAACAAGGCTTGAGCACATTGACCGTGAATTTTTACTCAGAACATTTGGGTTTTATATTAAGTTCTCATTCTTCCCCTCTTATCCTTTACTGTCTAGGTCATAATGTTGTACGTCAGCGAAGTACCACTTCGGTCTCCCTACGCATTGCTGTTGTTCCTGTTTGTTATCGCCCTGTTTCCTTCTGTTTTCACGAATTATGTCTGGCTCCTGTTGTTATTACTGTTATTGCAGCTCGTCTCTTTGCAACTGGGATCATATTTGGCCTAGTGAACTAGGAGCTTGTTGGGATCCCACTTCATTGTCCATTCTCAAGGACGCCATCGATGAATCAGTTTGACAACTGTCTGCTTTTCACCCCTTTTCTCGTCTGTGATATCTTCACATTTCACGGATGGAATGAACTTCTCGTTCCCCGTCAAATACCGGCTGTACAGGTCCCTACTCTCTCCGGAACACCAGCGTTGTCTGACAGTTGGTGTAGTTCCGCCTCTCGATTGCGCATGTATGATGTATACGGACTGTGGGATTCCGGTCTGGCCTACGGTCTTGACATCATGTTACATAAAAACACATAAAATTTACTAATCACTCATCTACTACTGCGCCGCTGGTTCTAACACTAATTCCTGACACATGGGTGTCAACATTACTCACTCAGTGGTCCATTGAAACATTCTTGGTGCTTCACAGACACCAATAACCAGAAAACCAACAGTCTCATAATGGTCTCACAATGCAATGACCGTGTCTCTTACCCATACGGTAGCACTACTGCATTGCAGCATTGCGCCGACAGCACCGACGCCTCACTGCTGTGTTCAGTTATCTCTGACGAATTATCTACCAGCGATCACACAGTCACTCGGCTGTGCGCACTGGTCGGCCATTTCAAATGGTTAGTCGTTGGTAATGAGAATCATAGGTGTGTTTTCTCGTCCCTGAGTGTAAAGCAAGGTTGGGATGTCGGTCTACGCAGCATTCCCAGCGCACTAACTCATTGAGAACCCAGAGGAATCATATGCTCTTCATATTTTATATTCTCTAGGTATTTAATGAAGGGGTAGTAAATGACTGGATATTTCTTAGTCACATTGACGAGATGGGAAACAAAGAAGCCTGTTACGCTACCGAACTCTAGATATTTTATCTCGAAACATTAGACTTCCACTAGGACAGTTTTGCAATAGAAAAGCACGTGTCCGACTCTCTCTTCCGATCAGCAATGACCTAAGGAGATACTATCGACTGAATCGGGGCGGATCTAGGTGGGTAGTTACGTTAGCTACCCCAGCTTGATGCCGGCTTGTGACTTGGATGTAATTGTAGTGTGGCCAACACCGTAATCATACTTTCACAGCATCCTTTAGCTAACAGTTAATCTGGTGGCACATCTGGTTTGCGTTGTATTCATTGTCGACCATTATAGATGTGCTTCCTACCTTGCGGATGCGACGCTTAGGTATACTGTTACAACGGCGACTCCGAAACCTGGAGCGGTCTCCTATTTGGTAGCCTGGTTTACTCGGATTCCGCTTAACCGTCAAACATTCTTCCTTTTTCGTTGATTTTACTCTCATTGGCTGATGGTTAGGAACCTAGTCGAAGTCGGTGCATTTTCGGGCTCATTGACACTCTTCGTTTGCTCTGATGGTTCTAACCCTTATCTGTTCCATCTGACGATGCAGCTTTTTTATCCACTCCTGGTTTACTGCTACTTTACAGAGAATTCATTGCGGTTGTTTCGTTGAGTTATTCCTTGTTGTCATTACTATCATTTTGTTTCGACGACATGAATCGAAGAAATCTGCTCCACTGCCATCCCCATGCATGGACTATGGTTTATCACCCGGCGTAAATTGTTACCGATGCTTCCGCATGTGCGAATGTTTTGCTCATTCTAGCTCTCCATTCCGCTTCGTACCTTCTTCTAGGACATTGTTAAAGCAGTCTCTTTCGGTGGATGCGTTTCCGCTTGTCGCCTTGTCAGCTGCGTCCGCTTGTCGACAGCAGGCGAGACAGGTAATGTACTCTTTCATTCTGCTTCCCCTTCTTTAACCCACCTAAGTATACTGTTACTTCTAGATCCCGTTCCTATCTGTGGTTTTCTCTTTGGTTTGCTGTTTTTAATCAGTATTACTATCGCGAGCGTTATTCCAAGGCACGGCATCAGCAGTGCGCCAGTACGCAGTTCCGAGACCGCTGCCACGCAACCACCACCAGTTGCACATGGGCTAAGGATACGTCGAGGGTCGCCCCTGTCCTACGCAGGCGCGGACCCGCACCCTCAGACTACAAGGCAGGCTTGTGATCCTTAAGGCTACATGCCAAGACGGAAACATCACGGTTCAGTCACTGATATCCAATTGATATTACAGTGTTTAGCGACAGTTCTAACTACAATTCAAATCGACGTGTGCGCAGCGTACTCTGGCAACCAGCGGTGCACTTGAGCCCGATACAATGCTTTTACTTGTCGGCATGTCCATTGACTTGTTCTGATCCTTTTTCCGTCACACTTTTCTCTACATGCTCTCTCTCTCCTTTGCTTGGCTGTGGTGACACATGCCTTGTCACATAGAAGTGACTGTGCCATCCTTGAAGCACATTTCATGGGATGCACTAGGCGTATTTTGTAGTTTTCAAATGGTGCTCGTGCATTAAGGTGCACTAGACCAATTCAGATCGATAGACATTAGCCGACCGAATTTCATTCATCAGTCATCCTCGTATGCTTCCCTATCCTACTGACATACATCCCGGAAAATGATCCCAGTAAAAAGGAAAAAGAACACGAAGTGTTGGGGGACCTGACGGTTAAGCAGGCACTCAGGATTAAGATGCCTATACACCAAACAGTTGGCCTAGATAGTGCGGGTTCTTTATGGAGTCACTACTTAACTTCATATAAACCTTATCCCACAGCTGTGTTATGGTTACTCTAGGTACTTTTTTGTGACAGCACTAAGCGATGGTTGACACGGACGCTGTCAATCGCAATCTTTGTCTGACTCACCTCTTATTGGCTTGGTGATGAGTGACTGGACACTGACATTAGTTGAGCAGTGTGAGGCTTAGGTGCTCTCTCATCGCCAGAGGCAACACATGGTGGTCCCATCTCTACACTAACAGGGCTGTCAATAAGCGGTAAACTTTTGCCTATCTCAAACTGGCATTGTAGCGTTACCATCAATGCTCTTTTAATTCGTTGAGTAATTTTCAACGAAAGTTTAGACGACCACATTCTTCATACTCTTTAAACAGTTTCCACTTGGTAGCTCAACTGGACTCAGTCCGCTGACGAATCCGTCATGGGAACTCGGAAAATACCGTTTGATTTACCTTCATATGTCCTTGAGGCGCCCGGACCATTGCCCACTCTTAATTGCTCATTCCTAATCATAGGCACAACATTAATTAAGATCCTACAAATGGAGCTATCGGTGACTTTGAGGCTAAAATTGCTAAACCTTCCTTCGCTTCTAGCATGTCTCAATTTGTTGCAACCAGGAAAAATCAGGTATAGCTTTTATTGGGTGTTTACTGAACTGTCGACGAAGTGCCATCTATCACCGGTTGTGACCGACGTCCAGAACCCAAGCTGTCAATCTCCCACCCAGTTGATACAGTTTTGTTACCGATTACTTTCAATCTACAGAATCTCATCATGTTTTTTTGTCAACCTAACTAAACGTTCCAATGTGCATTCCTTTTTTACTGGTTCGCCTTCTGTTTCAGGGCCGAGAAGCTTTGCATTGGGTAATACAGCACCGACTGCCGTTCCTTCGTTCCTGTCCCCGTTGGCAATTAGATGGGATGTTTGGACCTGAGCTCTCGCAGGGCGCTTTACATGAGTCCACAACCCCTTCGCCTTTTCCCACTGTGGCCAACAAAGACCAGTTGGCTGTTTGGTCTGACAATTCTCAAACGGCTTCACTGGGGAATTTTCTTGAGTATGGTTCCGGATCTCTGATCTGCAAACGTTCTCGTTTCTTCGCCGATGTGCCTTCCATTTCATCATCCATACTTCCTGATTCAATAGCTACGACAGCGGACACCTCCCTCAGTCGACTGGGTTCTCACTATGAGACGATAACACGTGATGTAACTGCCATGAGTGATGCGCTCTTACGGCGGTCTCAGCGCGTTGCCAGTCTGTTTTCACGCATCGATGAACATGTAGTGATAATGTGATCACACACTGTTTCCGGCTGACAGCATACCAGCACTTACACAGTTTCTATTTACATTTCCTGTTGGCATTGTGCACAGTTTTCCACTTGCCTTCATTTTTGGTTTTTTCACTTCTCAGACGTCTGCCATCCTCTAACCCCATGCCGCGGATTTAAACATTATGTATGAGGTCTGTAAAAACACCTTCCCTCCTACCTACTTTCTTTCTCGGTGGCTCCGAGCAGCAAGTCTCGCGAATATACTAGTTTCTGCTTCAGTCTTCTTACCACCATTAAGCTCAATAAAATGTTCAGTTGATGTGTTTTAGACCTTTCTTCACTGATCAAGAGATTCGATCGGTCTGTTTCGTTCAGTCTGACGGCCGATGTCCTTTGTAATCTTGAAAAGTGAACCTTTCCTGGGATTGTTTTCATCATGTTTACGGGGCTAGATATCTTTTGGTGGGCACTTAGGTTGTCTGCGATGTTGCAGTTACTCCTGACTTGTGTGCCGCAATTATTAAGATGCACATTGATTGCGTCCACTCTCTTCTTGTCACCTTCAGAAGTGTTATGCGGCCCGTTACCATTTCTGTTAATGTTCTTTCTCGAAACCTCTAGCTTGCATCAATCCCGGAGCTAATTTGGATCAGTGGCGTAGCAACTACTTTTGCCCCCCCCCCTGGCAGTTGTAAATCCGTGAACCCATGCAATTGCGAATTCCTATTCAATATTTCCTTTTATACAGCAACAATCAAAGATCTGCTTTTGGAGTGCTGCCTTAAGGGTAGGTATTTGAATTGTTATTATACTCGTGTACAAAAGTTACCGATACACTTTTCGTGCACTAACAAACTTCAGTCCATTGGCAATTTCCTCTTGTATGGGAAGAACTGCCAATCCATTAGCCTTATCTGGCTCATTTATGATCGAAGCCAGTTCGTCATAAGTTTGCGTTTTGGAAACGCGCTCTCATAACTGGCAGTCCTAATAGTTCGGCATGAAAGATTCGCAGCAGATTTCCCAAGGTGGTATCTACGTATGAGACTCAAAAGTTCAGGAGGTCCATTAATTTTGTCGTTCCTGAAGCTTTCACAAAATACTGTGGGCTTCGCCTTCAAGGAATTCCTATGTTCTTTGTCTTCCTCAACCCCGCTAAGCGAACAACCGCACTTATTATCAAGCCGAGTTGACGGCGTTAGAAAAGTACATTTGTTTGCGAGGTCATGAATTTGCTAAGATCTCTGACATTTCAGCAGTCAAACTGTCTATGAAAGAGAGCATTTCCCGTTTAAACTCCGTATCAAATCCCATCGATTTATCAAACAATTCTTCACTGTTCATTCATTTCTTTTGGCTGGTACTACCTTTTATGCTTATCCCCAATTCAGCTTAGTGTTTTTTATTCATCCATTGCAATGTCTACAATTTTTCTCTTTATTCTGAAGTAGGTAAACTCTTAACATTATAAGCTTGACAGAGCTTTGCAGCAGTTCCAGCCATTTTGTTTATACATATCAGTGCATCCTTGATTTCTATGAACAGATCTCAAAGTGCTCAGAAACAAAATAGACAGAAACGACAATACCGAGATGAGAACTGAACATATATCTGATCTTGTGGCTACATCTTCTTATTCTGTGAAATATTCCAGAGAAGTTGAGTTCCGAGTATTTCTTTCCCACAACATTTACAGCCCCTGTTCGACTACTCCATCTGGATTTTACAGCTACTTGATACTTAGGTCGGCGACTTGATTCAAGATATTCCAGCAGCATTTAGATGAAAAAAGAGTAGAACATCCGGTCCATCGTACCAAAGGTGTAACAGAATGAACAGACGTAGAACTGCATGAACACAAGCCAGATTCAGGAAATAATTTGTGCATGGCACAAATCTCGCTTTGGGTTGATTTCGCACATGTCTCTACACACCCGATTGGTAGCCCGCCGTACCGGCAGCACTGTTTAATGCCTGGCCACGACAGTCACCAATCAGAATTCATTCCATCTCCGGTTCTCTCAAAACCCATCCAGCAATTTTCTCTGCACCTTTGCTGTTGGTCTCAATGAAGTTGATAATCGCCTCCTCTACCCTCACTTTTTTCACTCATCCACTTTTCGTGGGAAACATCGGGAATTATTATCAAAAAATAAACAAACATACTTGTTTTTCTTTTACCTTATCTACGATTTTCTTTCTCACCTGCTTTACCAAAATGCTGACTAATTCACTTTGAACGTGTGGCGACAAAAAAGATGCTGCGTTTCCTTCTCGGCTGAACTGTCACCAAAGGTTCGCGAAGAATAGGTTCATACTCGGCCAACAAATATATAAACACCGAAAATGTCCTCTATTTTCCTATTCTCCTTTGTCTTCCTGAATGTCTTCTCGGTGACCTCACAGTTTCATGTTTTGCTTGGTGAGAAACCTGACGATATCAAGCATTCGAGCTTGAATTTCATTTCACCTCTCGCCTACAAGGGTTACCTACATTCTTTGTCAATTGCTTTTTGTTCAACTAGCCGGATCACTAACTCCTTGAGGTTGCGGACTGGCTGAGCAAGCAATACACTAGTTTCGTGTTCACATGTTTTTGGATTTAGTTCCCACCAGTTTTTTAGAATCCTCATCAATCGAGAAAGTAGAATATGCGCCGTTGAAAACATCCCGCATCAGAAAGAAAACAGGGCTCTTTTGAAAGAGAAGACACCATCCATGTCCACAATCATTGCTCACCATTTCGCAAATCCTGGAAAATAAACAATTCCTTGTTAGCTTCTTATCCCCAGCTTTTGTATACGCTTCAGATAGAACTACTTATTGAATTCAAGATCGACGTGTTGCACAACAATAGATCCGAGATTTTCATAGCTAATCATACCAGGCAATGGTCAGACATCCATCATATCGGTTGATGTGCATGTCATCGTGTCAAAATGTGGTCACATTTTCAATTCTTCATCTTCGTGCACATCTTCTGCATCGGCATTACAAACATTTCCTGCTGCATCCTTGCTATTAGTGACGTTTTCTGTTGCTCGGATATCAACGTTTGCAGTACCAATTTCATCTTCGTTCTCAGCATGATTATCACCTCCATTTTTGCCACTTCAATCATGGAGTTAATTTTGATGAATTCACACTTGCTAATGAACAATCATCCGTGCTAAAAATGTCGCCCCCTATCGCATGCCGCCCGGGACAGAACGCCCTCGCCCCCCCCCTACGCCTCTGGCTTGGATAGACGACCATCATAACTTCGATTGGGATTGCATTTGATTATTACTCCGTAGTACCGAGTTTTTTTTACAGTACACCGACGTTAGGTACTGTAAACCGACAATTCAGTGTAGTCAGCTAAACAAGCTGTGCTGCATCCACCTGCCACGACTTGTATCACCATGGTAACAATAAATAACAATGATAAGGATGTGAGAGTGTACAGGAACAAAATGCAGAGGAGGTGGAGTTAAGGAAAAACTGCATAAAACGTATCGGAAAGAAAGGTGTATAAGCGGCTAAATGCAAGAGACCGACTACAGGAGCGCCACTGACTGCGCTTGGTGGTTACGTAATGTTTAAGCGTAGAACTGAATTACAGCATTAAACTAAATCCACCCTCTTATGCTATTCGTATATAGCTTCTGTGTAATGGAAGCCGACCATCCGAGTCAAAGGCCCCTTTGATATCTAGGAATACGACTACGGTGAGTCGCCAATAAACATGGCGGCGCTCCAACAATTGACGTAATGTGAAGACGTGATCAATACTTCCTCGATTTCGACGAGACTCGGCCTGCTGGTACCTCTGGCTTTCACGGATGTCATTCGGTCTATGGAGAAAAACAGATGCAATTGACGTCATACTGGTTCCCCTGACTACCGCATTTAAAACGTGCGCCCCTTAAACTTTGATTTCGTCGAGGTCGGGGCTGCATCGACTACATCTTCGCCTTGCACCAATTGTTGGATCACCTACATGTTTATTGGGGACCCACCGTTGTCGTGTTTCCTGACATAAAAGCTGCCTTCGACTCAGTCAATCGATGTGCCGTTTGGGACTGTCTCCTGAGGAAAGGTGTGCCTGATAAATATGTAAACATTATCAAAGCGCTGTACGCACATAGTTCGGGCAGAGTGAGGGTTTATGGCAAACTGTCGCCACCTTTCAGTATCACCAGCGGTGTGAGACAAGGTTGACCGCTGTCACCTTTCCTCTTTAACTTCCCTATTGCTGAAGTCATGGAAACAGCGTTCGCTGGATACGACCTAGAAGGTGTGGAGCCACTTCCTGGTGAGCGACTTCTTGACTTGGAGTACGCGAATGATATTGTCCTAATCGGTAACAGCTCCCAAACATGCCAAATAGCACTGGACCGATTAGCACTGGCTATCAATCGTTTTGGCTTATGCTTTTCTCCATCGAAATGCAAAGTACTTCTCCAAGATTGGCAGGAGGCCTACAACTGCGCTAACGCTTTGTGATGATCAGCATAAGTCGTTCAGGAATTCAAGTACCTGGGTAGCTATATTAGCGCCTGTGGGATCGAAGATGAGGTTACTAACCGTAGTGCAAAAGCTCGAGGTGCTTTTACCAATCTCCGCCACGTGGCGCAGACGCGACATTACTCTCGCCCTGTAGGACAGTTTATAATGCAGCCGTCCATTCAACCCTCCTGTATGGTTGTGAAACCTTGCCCATTAGGTCGGCAGACATAACGTGGCTCGTCACAGTCGATCATCGCTGCCTTCGCAGCTTAGCTCATGCCTGATGCGAACGCTATGTGAGCAATATATGTGTTTGCCATCGTGTATTTGGTGCATGAACAGCGAGTGAACCACTCATGACCGTTATATCACGCACCAGCCTCTGCTGGCTGGGCCACGTGCTGCGCATACCAGCCCACCGATTCCCGCGAGGTACGTTGTTTGCGCGCCGGGTTGGTCAGAGTCCACGCTCATGCTCCAAATTGAGCGACACTTTTGAGCGCATCCTCTCCAGCGGCATCTGATCACCCCACTGACAAACCCCAATAGGGCGATACGATCGTCTGATGCTGTTCCCGATTGGTAATGGACTTTTGTGGCTTCTAATCCAATTACAATGAACCGACTACATATTATCAAATACGTCTAATCATAAGAAATTGAAACCTACGCGATACCAGTCCCCGAAATTTCTACGTGGATTCTCGGCTTTTGGCAGGGGAAGTTCTGAAAAATGGCAATCTAATTGCAAGGAACCACGTAATACGTGTCATTGCCAACTTAAATTCCACTTGGAGGTTGGCGAATAAGAACGCATCCGATATATTTA